AGAACATGTTGTGACCACTGGAAAGATCGGTGGAAGGAGGGATAGAGGAAGGCAACGAGAGAAGATTCTTGACAATCTTGTTACATGGCATGGAGGTGTGTCGGCACACGAACTGAGGCATGATCGCCCACGCCAGTCGGGAAGGCACCAGATGATGATATTTAGCGCCCCCGGCAAAAGCCTGGGTGGGGCTTCAAAATTTACAACGGGGAATATTGCTTAGATAAAATGTGTATAATGTGTTTAAAACAGTGTCGAAGATCTATGCTTGCAATGATCTTATAAAATCTTCTACTCTCCAGGTCTCGCGTATATCATAAAACATAAAGTCAAAAGTCTTTGATTTTACATTGAACCTAACAAAGCTGCGACGTTGCTCACAACCATGATTTTTCAGTACAAAAAACGAACATGGATTTATATAGTAGTCATTTTTCTGCCTGCTGCTGTATTAATGCTACTGTCAATAAATAGGTTAGGCGTTAAAATAAACACTGACTTGATGCAGTCATTGTTTAGTGGTCAGTGGAATGAGATGAGACCGTCATGCATTAACGTGTTAGACAATATGGTCTTGGGAAGTTGGAAGAAAGACAAGCTCAAAGAGGCTGAGATGGCTGCAGTAGTGAACTTCCATAAAAAAATCAGAGCGTATCATGGGATAAACGTGAATTTACAACATAAAGATAATATATGTGGTAAGTTATTTTTATGGCTATTTACCTTTTTTTAAAAAAAAAAATGCAACTATTTATGCAATGTCTGTATAGTATATGTTACACTAATGTGGGTTATGCAACTGGATAATGCCTAAAGAATGCGTGTTACCATTGTCAGGTATATGTAACCAGATAAATATTTACTTGTATATCTATTGTGTGCGTTTGCTTTGTTTATATATGGGTGTATAAAATACATGTTATATTGTTATCGTTTGTTTGATACATTTAACTGAAAAAATGCATATAACAAACATCATATTAGCCTCATTTAGTCCATGAGCAAAGCTGAGTAATGCTTACTCAATAAATGTTATATTGGTTTAGTATATGCAGCTGTCGTCGGCTCAGTGGCTAAGTCGATGCGAACGCTTTGTAATGCCGGGATGCCGGGTTCGATTCCAGCTTCTGGCCCTGCGCCTTGCGTTGGTTTCGACAGTGGTATCAAGAAAGCTGACCGTCCAGAAAGCAATGGCAAACTACTGGACGTAAATTTGCCTAGAAAAACCACGCAACAGCACAGCAGCACAGTAAGGGACTGTTGGAGTAGATTCTGCAACGTCCTGTAAAATATACGCAACTTACCTTATGTGCAGCTAGTTTTATAAAGCTTATAGAAAACAAATTATATTAGACAGGTATTGCTTATGAAATATAGCTGAATAATGTCTATAGAATATACGTTACACTGGATCTCCAAAAGCATGTCGTAAGAGTCGACTAATTAGGAGCTTCCTTAGATGTCAGAGTGAATCTGTCTGAGGGACAAAGAATCAATAGTCTGTATACAAATAAGTGAGATATGTAAAACGGATATACACTCAACATTCAGGTTCTAGAATAGTACTAGAGTCCAGAAGTGGACGAACAACCAGAGCTGTGGACATGTGGGTGTGAATTGAGTAGGTTTTTGTAATCGTTACAATGCAGTGGTCAGTTGTGTTGAAAAATATATTATGAGCATAGCTCATGATGCGCGCACGAGAAAACATCACAATTGGGAGTGGGGGGGGGGGCACTATTCACTGCCTACGCAATTAAAACCCTATAAAGGGATAACGATACACCAAAATATTCAGTTCATTTTTAAGAGGTCACAAATGGCGTATTTATCGATAAACGGAATATTGCTGTTGGCCGATTGCAGGCAGGATAAAGTCAAAGTCAGTTTGCCAGGCATGTAAATGTGCGTTACAGTACCATCAGTCGACTTTGGCATCGGTTCTAAGCCACTGGTTCTGTTGAAGCCAGATATCGCAGTGGACGACCCAAATTGACAACTGTGGCGGAGCTTCGTCACCTCAGAGACAGGTTTTCAACAGCTTCCTTAACTGCGCAGGCATCGCCTCCAGGACGTCATGTGTCTGACTGCATGAGGTTGGACTTTGGGCACGACGACCACACCGAGAACCTGTCCTTACGCGTCGCCACCGCCAATATCTTTTTGCAACCAACATCGTCCTTAGGCAGGTGACAATCAGTGGAGACGTGTTTGGTTTACTGACGAAACTTTATTTTTGTTGCAGCGTCATGACAGCCGGCGTAGGATCAACTGTTGGCCAAAAAAAAAAAAAAGTTTAGTCCGAAATTGTTTTGATGAAGCCCTGCTGCACGATGGTAGGGGTGTAATGGAGTGGGGAATGATCAGTTACAACGGAAGGAGTCAGATGGTGCATATTAAAGAAAGCTTGAATGCCCAACAACATGTGAGTTAAGTTTCTCGACCACATGCCCTTCCATTTTTGGATGACAACAGATATCTTTTTCAACGGAACAACGCCATACCCCATTCCACTCGGCTGACCCCTCAGTCCCTGGCTGCCAATAATATTCATTTCCTGGCCATCCCTATTTACAGACATGAGTCCGACAGAGCATCTGTGGGATGCGCTGCAAAGATGTGTTTGTTACCGAGACGTTGCTCCAGCAAATAGTCGTGATCTGTTCCACGCACTCCAGGAAGAGTGGGCAGCCGTCCCACAGGCCCACATCTGATCGCATCCATGCCCAGGAGATCCAGTCACTGATCCACGCAAGAGGAGGCCACACACAATACTAACGGGAAAGACCGTACGCCTAAAAATTATCTTGAGATTATGCATTTTTCCTGTTTCAACTTACGGTTGTGACTTTTCACTCAATCCCTGAAGAAAAATACTGGAGCTTTTGAACTAAAATGTTACAGAAAAATTCTCAGAATACCACAGATCAAGAAGAGGAAAAACATCGACATTCTACACGAGCTAAACGTCCAGGAGAACTGGCTCACAAACAGCGTCCTGTCCCGGAAGTTGAAGTACTTTGGCTTCATCAAACATTAGGGTGGCGTGGAAAAGACTGTGATGGAGAGTGCAGTTTGTGGAAAGCGAGGTAGGGGTCGACCTCAGCGAAGATGGATAAGGACATTGAAGATGCATTGGCATTGAAAGCGCATGGAGCTGGATCGCTGGGATACTTTGAGGCGTGCCGTGGGGAGAGCGACGTTCTGTAAAGGATTTGCTGAGTGATGATATAAATTCACGGGAATAAGGGCTACAGTAATGGAAAAAGAAAAATGTTCATTTTTAAAATATGCGCTACATGACCACCACTGTTTCGAAAACACATTTCTAAGCGTGTCCTTCACTGCTGAAGTAAACGTATAAGAATAACTTACTTACTTACTTAGTCGCTCCTCTTCTACCTTGGGGTGTAGTGGTTTGCCAGAGAGATCGCCAGACGTCTCTATCAGCAGTTTTCTTTCTGGCTTTGTTCCATTCCAGTCCTCTGTCAGTTAGGGACTGTCGGATGTTGTCTTCCCAGCGCACCCTGGGTCGTTCTGGAGGTCTGGTTCCTTGGTTCCTAGACTCCCATGCCTGCCATGGTGGCCGCTTTTCTCCCATTTTGTTACTTGTAACTGTGACTGATCAACTCGGGTTTGTAAGGACTGGGTATCAAGATCTTGACGTATTGTCCCTTCTTGTCACTTGGACCACCTTTCTCAGATATCTCATTTCCGAGGCCTGCAGCTGGCTTCTGTGAGCTATTGTCATTGCCCATGACACACACCCATAGGTCAGGACTGGTACATGGGTAGAGCGGTAAACGGCCATTTTCGTCCTCTTGCCAATTTCTCTTTTGCTAAGAAAGCCTCGGTTTATGGCATGGAAGAGTCTCTCAGCAACTGCTTTTCGTGTAGCCAGCTCAGTCTTAATGCCTCCATTTCGGTCTAATACAACTCCAAGGTATTTGAACTGGTTAACCTGCTCCAATGCATACTGTCCCATCATGATCTGGTGTTTCTTCTCCTCTCTTGAGATCACTATGGTTTTAGTTTTGGAGATACTGATGGTCATCCCTCTCTTTTCAAGCTCTTCCGTCCAGACAAGTAAGTTGGACTGAAGGTGTGCCTCTGAGTTAGCTATCAGGACCACATCATCTGCAAATGCCAGCTCTGATATACAGATTGGTCTCATCTTCCAGTACCCTACAGAGTACTTCTTTGTCTTCTCCTTACAGGTCTTGATGACATCATCCATCATAAGAATGAAGAGGTAAGGTGAGAGAATATCACCTTGTCTAACACCGCTGGTGGTCTTAATTTTCTTCTGACTTTTGGTCTGCTGTTCTTACATAATTTCTGCAGCTTTCGTAGAAACTCTGTATTGCACTGATCAGGGGTGCTGGGATGTTTTTCCCCGGTAAGCAGCCAGAGAGCTTGTTCCAGGGTACTTTGTCAAATGCCTTTTCCAGATCCAAAAAACATAGGTGCATTTCACTCTTATATTCAATGTTTTTTTTCACTCATCTGTCTCAGTGTGAAGATAAAGTCTTGAGTACTTCGGTTTGCTCTGAAGCCACATTGGGCCTCGTCCAGCTGTGGCTCTACCAGACTTTGATAAGAATAACAAGAAACTTATTTCAGTGGAGTTTGGTAGTGTTCCCCCCCAGCCCCCACACTTATGGAAATCTATGTGACAACCTGTGAGTGTCTAAATGTCGGCGTCTGTGGCATAGGCGTTGCTTCGTAATGCGGGGGTGTCGGTTTTGATGTCCAATGCGGACTGTTCGTCTTGCGTTGGTTTCGACAGTGGCACCGAGAACTGACCGTTTAGAATGCAAACTAATAAACGTAAAATTTGCCTCGAAAAACAACAACAGCAAAGAAGAAAAAAAATTGGGGTTGGTTCTGCAACATCATGTAAAGGATATACAACTAACTTTTATGTGCAAGCTTGCACCTCTCAAAACTTGCGGTAGAATTATTCATTAAATATTTGTTGTTTTGTTTACCTTATGTAGGAAATGTAATGCATGGTGCACAAAACAGAGGCATTACCCAGTTCAGAGCCCTGTGTGATCCCAACGGCAGCACGCCGTGTTGTTTTGAAAACAAATGTGTATTCAAGACCGTCGAACAATGCAGATGTAAGAATTGTTTCGATCTGAGGCAGAAATTGCACGCAGAGTTGTCTACATGGATTCCGGCCGAGCCAACATGTAAGGTTAGTGTCATCTGTTAGACATCAGAAGTTCAAGCATATATTTAAACATTGTAAACCAGCGTTCTTTAACTTTTGTTAAAACACCACAATGGTCCACTAAAACAAATTATATTGTTTCGCAGCCCACCTGACTGCTAACTAAAATTAGAAACAAAAATAAGTGTAGATAGCACTTCTGCTTGATCATTCCACGATTTCCCCCTTTTCAGCCTCGCACCCTTAACTGCAGCCAAAGCTTCGTATAGAGGTGTTCTTTGTCTGCAGCTACTCTGATGTATGACTTAGCCTGCAGCACCTTTAGCCTATCTGCAAAGGTCGGCAATGCAAGGATGCATTGCATGCACACAATCGGTGTGTCTCTTGTACATCTCAGGATCACCCGCATAGCTTCATTCTGTGTGCGCTCCAGTTTCTCTAGCTGACTCTTCGAGACAGTGAGTAACCCCAATCCATAATTAATCCCTGAGATGATTAAGTGCTGGTAAAGTGTGAACAGCATTCTCTGCTCCATGACTATTGATGCCATAATCTTTAGTGCATTAAGACCTTTTTGAGCCTGTGTCACAACCTCCTCTATGTGATCCTTAAAAGACAAACTTCTGATTAAGGTGGGATGCCCAGGTACTGCAGTCTGTTGTCTCTTTTGATGTCCCTGCCATGTATTTTGAGTCTGGGAACATCCGCTTTAACAATCCTGTTGTCCAAAGAACACCACAGGACGGTTGCCTTTTCTGGGTTGATTACAGCACTCATCTCTGTACACCAGTCGATCACCTTATCTACTGTCGCCTGTAACTCTTGAGCTATTTGATCCCTTCCTATATACGAGAACATCATCTGCAAATGTGAGTATTTTCCAACTCCAGGTGTTTCCAGGTATGCAATCTTGCTCGTAAAATCATTTATAAGCACAGGTGAAATTGCAGATCCCTGTGGTAGGTCTGGAATAATACATGGTTCAGAGGTCCATGAACCCAGGCGGAGAGCTACCCGGCGATTATACAAAACGGCTGCTATCCAGTTCATCAACTGACAGACTCTTTTCTCCAAAAGCGTTTTTATCAAGATACTGTTTCTGACTCTGTTGTAAGCATCTTCTAAATCGAGTTCCGCTGCCATCGTTTCCTGTCTAACCTGAAAAAGAGCTTTCTCTGTTCCAACAAATTATTATAGCTTACCTGCCACTATTGTCTCCAGCACTTTACCAAAGATATTGTGTAGTGTTCAATGATTCTTGCCAGGCATAGGAAGTGGAATCAGCTGTGCATCCACTCTTCTGGGGCTGAAGCTGTCCTAATGCTCTGGTTGAAACAAGCAGTCATCTCCACCAGGACTGCATCACTCATGTCTTTCATGTGGAAATATCTAAACCCGTGGGGGGCCGATGCAGTGTCTTTCACATTTTTCAGAACACGTTTTACATCTTCCACCTGTATATCTTCGAAATGTTTGTTCTTTAAGATGGCTGCCAGATCTTCTCTAACTGAAACTCTATTATCTCCATCTCTGTGGTCTGTCTGTGAAATGAACCTCTTCATGAAAGCCTCCTCCTTCTCTTTGTCTGTGGTTAATAGCATACCGTCATCTCTATGAATTGCTCCTATTACGCTGCTTCGATCTTTCTCGAGCATCTGCCTATGTTTGTCGAACTTTCCTTAATCGTTCTACTGCAGCTTTCTTTAACTTCCATGCCTGTTATACCTCTGATATCCACCGTGGAGGCTGTACAAAAGTAGATCTGATATTCCGTTTCCATGCCCTCTGTCGGAGGCGTCCAAGAAGTGTGTTTGTCCGTTAATATTTGAAAGACCTACTAGCTTTGACTTTACTGGATTTGGAGATCAATACCTAACTTTGCAGATGATTGTTTCTGTGATCGTCCAGAACAGTCCATTTGGTATCCAGTACTGCTGACAGGGTAACAAACGCCAGGTCAGTATCTGTGGCTGCATCACCGGGCCTCACAGTCATTCTAGTTGGTCTCCCATCATTTATGCACACAAAATTTGAGTGGACCATGGCATCAGCAAGCGCAACCACGTGTCGATTTTCTCCAGTACTGTCCCATTCATTGTTCCGTGCACTGAAATCCCCACAAATAAGGAACCTGTTGCCAGGGATCTCCTCTAGGTATTTTAGCCAGTCCCATCGTTGCTTTGTGACTAAAAGACCCACAGCAGCATGTAAATATATATATATTTATTATGTTCAAGCTTAGGTCACCAATCTCTATCTGTATTCCCTGCACCTCCACTGCATCGTGATTCCACCGCATCAGGTCAAGCACCACATGTTTCAGTCCCTCCTTCACTAGCAGACACTGCCCATGTCTCCCATGTCCAGCAGGGTTTACATAGCTGACATATCCAGGCAATGATATTTGTTTGCATTCAGCTCTTGAAGCATGATTACATCAGAATCGCTTATCAGCCTTTTTAGTAAGGACCCTCTTTGTCTGGCACTGCTACAGTTCCAAAAGCACACCCTTACATGGTTGAACCCCAGCCGTTCTGTTCTTTGCCTCAATCTCCTGACTCCTGTCCGTCTATTTCTCTGCTTTCTTCTTTCATCATTTCCTCGTTTTCTCACCTTCACTCTCCCTTTGCTACTCGCTGACGATGACGTCAGGCGCAGAGCACGTGCTCCGTAGCTCCGGCGACATTTCTTATGAAATGAAAAATCCATATGAAAAAATGTGATAATGCAGGAAGTAGCCAGTCACCCTAGTAGAGCCTGTCTGCTAGGGAAGAGACAATGGAGGTCCCTATGGAGTCCACACGTCTGGCGCCCCCCCCCCTCCTTCTGACCAGACGTCCATATTCACGATTGTCTATTCCAAAACCATTCAGCCTCTCAGCACATAGATCCACTTCAGATTTTTTTTAAATAGAGGTTGTCTCCTCAAGATTCGCTGTGTTTTGTTCCAGGACCGCAAGGTCTTGGTTAAGAAGGGCACCTTTTGAAGGGTGTGCCTTTTCGGTCACGCACAACGGTCTTGACTGTAGAAAAGTTTGTCAGGTCAGAGGACTTACCACCTGAGTGCGCCCTTTTCACCTGTAAGACTAGACCTAGAGACTCGCAAGGGGTAGCAGCTGGTGCGATTCTTAGCCACTTCAGCCCTGAGTCTCCATGACACTCGACCCACTGTGAGTTTGTTGTAAGTATCGTTGCAGCTCAAGCCAGTGAAAACATCATTATCTCTGTTGCACCCTGCGATGATTCTCTTTTATCTTCTACTGGCTCGCCTCATCGCACGCTCGCTGCCATCTCACAAACCGACATCATTCGACGAGCAGAAAAAAGGACGACTGGAAAACAACACGATACTGTTCCAGTACTTTAATCTTCCACTCGCGGCTTACACTGCCGGCACATGAACTAGACAACTGTCCAGGCACACATTATAATGCAAGTATCAAATATTACCTTCAAGCAGAAATCACAATCACACTAACATCTTGAACGAAACACAGCAGCTGTCCTGACAGACAAACTCAGACGACCCGCAGACATATTACTGGCCAGCTTTTTTCGCCAGGTTGGACTGGAACAAATTCACTCACAAAAACATCTGCTGAATCCACACATCATCCACCGCTGTCCATGCATACTGTTCCTAGGTCCAAAACGAGACTGCCCACAAACCTTTTCCTTGCTATTATATAGCCCTCTGATCTGTCCTGTTCTCGAATACTCTGGATAACTTCATTCTCACGAATTCCCCGTAGAAAGTCGTGTCTGGCCCGTGACAATTCGCATCCCACACAAATCCCGCCAGTCAACCCCCACGGTTCACGTGAACAATCATGTCCCACACAAAACCTGACTTTCAGATGTCTCTCATGAAACTCAAGACATAAATCTCGTGTTATCTCAGTCAGTCAAACACTCGCCCCACATTTATTACTGACGTCATCCATCGGGCATAACCTAATGGGAAGAAAATGACTCACTACATTCTCCCCCACCCCAAAAAAAAAATGTTATACATTTTCAATCAATCAGGTGTGAACATTTCACTGAACATTGTGATTCTAGACCTTTGTAGTGAATCATTTGACAAATTCATTTCCAACAAAGTTCCCTTTTCCTCATTAGGTTAACAATTCAAACACTCTGAAATGCCATCTGTTGGGTCCTTGCACGACTGTGAATACCTTAATGGGATCCTCACCCCAGGCACTCCCCTTTTAGTGCGGAAGACCAATAATCTGGCTCCATAGGTATCCCCACCCAGTTCTAAAGTCGGTATACTACCGAACCCCTCTCCTGGCACCCCCCGATCGGTGCGGAAGTCCAAAATCTTGGCTCTAAAACCGAAGTGTGACCCCATGAAGTCCCACCCTCGCTATTCCCATTCATGAAAGCCCTCAACAATGGCTAAATCAGCAATGTATGGTTTTGTTCCCAACTATGTAAGGTACAAGATGTAGTTAATTACCTTGTCTTCAGAAACTACAACATGTCCCATTAACACACATATTCAAATTAAATGCCACACCAATTCAATTTAGTATACTAATAAATGCAACATATTTTCTGGTGAGGTGTATTTTAACACTGAATGTTGTCTCCCTTTAATTGTTTACTATATTATACCCGTTCAAATCAAACATAACATTTTTTCTAGTTGTAAATTCATATAATACATTCATACAATAATACAATACCCTTGCATAAAATGATTTCAGTTAATACAAGTTGTAATAGCAGTTGCAACATCTTCTACAAACGTGACATGATATCTGGTAAATGATTGTCTGTTCCTTTGATGTGTTCAATGTTAAATTTGAATTGTGATATCAACAATGCCCATCTATATACCCTTGGATTGCTATTGGCATCAATTGTTAATAATTTTGTCAACCCCAAGTTATCTGTTAAAATAGTGAATTCTTTTCCCAAAAGAAACTTCTGAAACTTTTTTAGACTAATAACTAGTGCCAACGCTTCTCGTTCAAATGTATTGTATTTTTGTTGAGTTTGGTTAAGTTTCTGTG